GACAACAATAATACCCTGAAAATTTCAGACCTCTAGCTCACGTCCTTCTTGGGGAACGGACCGACGGACAGACAGACAGACAGACAAACAGGCGATGGCATAAGCCCGCTTATATAGCTTTTAAGCAAAAGAGCGGGCTAAAAATCTGAAAATGATCAGAAACTTATATCCTACTCCCCCAACATTCAATTTTTCAATCCCGACCCCCAAACCGAGACCCTAGCCTAGTAGACAGCAGAAATGCTGAAATGCTCCCAAAAAACCCCGAGGGACCCAAAATTTTGCAATCTGGCGTCTCACAACATTAACGGAGGTGGGGAAGCGCGACAGTAGGAACGGCAGGGCCATGCGGCTACATGCGGCCAGAGCATCTGACCAGCATAGACCATTTCTCTACAATACCCCCCCCCCCCCTCTCCCATGAAAGAAAAGGAGTGAAGTCCGGGACAAGTGACGGCCATCTCGAAGGGAAGCGCCAGCGGCACCTCGGCAGGATCAGGATCGGGTCGAGCAGCACGAAGGTGAGGGAGAAGCAGCTATACTGGCCAGCGAATCTGCTGGCACTTAAACAACAACGCGGTGCACCTCGTGCCTCGCTACAAGACGGTGCCCACGGGTCCACACGTGAGGTCCCTTGGTGCCCACGGGTCTACACGCGGGGTCCCCTGCTGCCCACACTCTGCGTACTTCGACCAGGCTGGGTCCTTCGAGCTGCTTGGTTCTCGCCACCTCCGCGTACTAGGGTAGGCGCGAACCTGTGGTGCCGGGTCGCCGGGAAGCCGAAGCGTGACAACGCTGGGGCGATGATCACTGCCGTGCGTGTCGAGAAGCGGGAGCAAAGTGGCGCCGGCGGCCATAGCCGCGGGGAGCACCGCAACATCAATTGCCGCATGTGCCTGGCAGGGGGCTCCTATCCGCGTGGGCGAGCCATCGTTAACAGTCACAAGGTCGCAAGCAGTCATCCAGGCGACAAGGTCCTGACCGCGTGGGTCCACCCGTGCAGCTGGGCCGCCCCACCCCCACATCTGATGATGAGCATTGAATAATTCGCCCAAGAATGTAGTGTCGGGAGGGCAGATATCGGAGAGGCGCTGCCAGTCATCAGCGGCAATGGGCGCCCGGGCTTCGTGCATGGCGTAGAGGTGGACGACGCTCACGGTGCCAGAGGCCGTGGACAGGAAGACACCGACCGCCTCAATTCCATTCCGGCCCGGCCAGGGACAATCGCCTGGAAGGTAGCATACACCCTGGAGCGCCGGATGAACAGAGCGACGCCGTGGCCGCGAGGATGTTGGTGATGCAGAACTTCGTAGTGGCCGAGCTTCTTCTGACTTGGAAGGAGCTAAGACTCCTGCACGGCTGCCACGTCGACTCCCTGAGTTTCCAGGAGCTCCTGGAATTCGCTCTGCTTGTGCAGTAACGACCGGGCGTACCAGGTGAGGAGGGTGAGGGCGAGCACGAGGACCGTGGTGGTGTAGACTCCTTGGGTGGCGGCTGCACATAGGTGACGGCCAGCGTCGTGCTAAGGGCCAAGGCTGCTTGCGTCGTAGTGACCGTGCAACAAGGCGCCGTCTGAGAAGGGGCGGCAGCCGGCCGGGGACCAGGGGTTGCGGCCGGCAGGGGTGGGTTGGTGAAAAGTAAAAATTATCCTCTATTTGGAGTAAAAAAAA